TTTTAAAAATACACCTGTGCAAGATATTACAGACATACACAGAAATGAAAGTTCCTGGTCAGGTGCAGTGGCTCACATCTGTAATCCCAGCACTTTGGGAGGCTGAGGCGGGCAGATCATGAAGTCAAGAGATTGAGACCATCCTGGCCAACATGGTGAAAACCAGTCTCTACTAAAAATACAAAAATTAGCTGGGTGTGGTGGCGCATGCCTGTAGTCCCAGGTACTCAGGAGGCTGAGGCAGGAGAATCACTTGAACCTCAGAGGCAGAGGTTGCAGTGAGCCAAGATCATGCCACTGCAATCCAACCTGGTGATAGAGCGAGACTCAGTCTCAAAAAAACACAAAAGAACCAAAAAAAAAAAAAAAAAAAAAAAAAAGAAATGAAACTTCCCCTCCACTTCTCTCCAATGGTGCTCCCAGTTTTTTCTTTCTATACTAATTTTATTTATACACTGTGTATATTTAGGAAACAAACTAGGACCTTGTGCATACTGTTTTGTGACTGTTTTCACTTAATATGACTTGTTCATTTTTTTTAATTCGAAGAAGAAAATAATATGTTCTTCTGGATCTGTTCAGGAAAACCAATTTTGACTTATGGCAAAGGATCTGCCTTGAGCACTATTACTGGGGACAACACTTCAACCAGGGTCAAAGTAACTCCCCAAAGCAATTTTTTTTAATTGGAAGAAAAAAATTTTTTTTAATTGGAAGAAAAAAATTTCCAATCTGACTTAAATATAACAAATCCAGAAGTCATAAAGAAAAAGACTTATACCTTGACTACATAAAATGAAACTTTTTTTATATGGGAAAAGATACAATAAATAAAGAAGCAGACTAAGGGAATAGCTAAGCGACACTTATGAGAAAGGGTTAATATTCCTAATATTAGGGATTAAGATTCCTACATGTAGATTTAAATAACGCAGAAGAAAAATGGGAAAAGAGGTAAACCAGCAATTCATAGCAAACAAAATATAAATGTTCAATACACACAAAACAAGATGTCAGCTTCATTAGTAGTCACCATTTTTGCCATCCAATTGGCAAAAATTAAAAAGACTAGTGACAACTAGTATGGCCAAGAATAGGGGAAATTGGACACTCCTAAGTTGCTGAAGGATATGTGAATTGCTACAACATTTTGGGTAGGTCATTAGGCAGTATTTAATGGGGACAACCTTTAACCCATCTATGAAACTAAACCACAAAAATAAAAGCACCACTACTAACAGTATGCTCACAAAATGTTTATTACAGCAATGTCTGTAAGAGGGAAAAACTGGAAACAACTGAAATGTCTGGTGATAAGTGACAGCTGAATGAACCATGATTTACGAGAACCAGAGATACTAGAGAAACATGTCTTGGCCCTTTGTGATCGACCTCTAGCCATGTACATGGTAGACAGCTATGTGAAAAAAGGAAGTTGCTAACTCCACAGTATAAACACCATGAAAATAAAACCCAAATCCATAGAGAGGTGAATATATATTTACATATTGTTGTAGAAAAAGAAAAAGCCTGTTAAATTTGGTATGTTTCAAGCTGGGTATGCTGTGTTCTAGAAATTAAAAAAGAACGTCATTTTAAAAAGCTGCTATGATAAAGGATAATACTGCGCTAATTTGATCTTTCTTGAAGCTAGGAAACAGTTAAAAAGGGAAAAGCCAATGGTTATGAGATAAGATGGAAGGGCTGTTTAACATGGTATAACTACAACATCTTACAGAATATAAAGTATGTTAACACTTTTCTTTTGATCTAACACTTTGGCTTCTTACTGGGGTGAAGGAAGAGACTGGGAAAGTGCATGTGAAGTATTAGACTGGTGTCTGGCTAGGGGTGGAAACTCCTGTTTTGATTTCTGACTCTGGTGTCTCCTTGGGGTTCACTTGAAAGAGAAGGCACCTGGATCTCATATGAGAGCAGGTCAGGGGAGAATCAGCCCGACAGATGCTGGCTTCTTCTGGATCCGTTCAGGAAAACCAATTCTGACTTGTGGGGAAGGATCTGCCTTGAGAACTATTACTGGGGACAACACTTCAACCAGGGTCAAAGTAACTCCCCAAAGCAAGTTACCAACTCCCTAAGCAGCAGTCATGGTAAGTCCCCGAGACAGTTCTTGGAAACCTAAACTCCTTTACCCTAGGAAAACAAAGACGTCAAATTGGGAAAAACCTTAGCTATACTGTGACTATTCTGTCCAAACTGTACCACTGAGAGGGGCTATGATTTCCAAAATGGCATAGAGCTTTGATAAATGTCTCTTCTTTCACTGTTCAGGAATGCAGATAGATTCTTTTTTTTTAAAGGTAAAAATAAAGCAGGGGTATTTCTCAAGGGAAGACTGGTGCTGTTCATGACTATTTTACAGGTTGAATGAGTCCTCCTTTTAATTGAGTTACTATTTTCAGTTAAGGTAAACAACTGACAAGGCCCCAACACAAAATAATACATGTGTTCTTTCTGTGGTCCTGAGTTCCAAGAAGTGACTTTATGATCTTTTTTGGGATGTGGAAGGGGGGCAAAAGAAGATGTATCTGAAACTGAAAGTTCTTTGAGCATACGCAAATGTCATAAAAACACAACCCTCCCTTCAGCTTAATGGCAAGGCTCCTCTTTTTTTTTTTTTGAAGACAAGGTCTCACTCTGTCTCCCAGGCTGGAGTGCAGTGGTACAATCTCAGCTCACTGTAACCTCCTTCTTTTGGGCTCAAGTGATCCTCCCACATCAGCCCCACAAGCGTCTGGGACTACAGGCACGAGCCTCTACATCTGGCTATTTTTTGGTATTTTTCGTAGTGATGGGGTTGCCCAGGCTGGTCTCGAACTCCTGAGTTCGAGCGATCTACATGCCTCGGCCTCCCAAAATGTTAGGATTACAGGCATGAGCCACCACGCTCGGCCCCAGACTCCTCTTAAAGGAGAGACAAAAAACAAAGATTGCAGGCATTTGTCTTTTTCTCCCTACACCAGTCCTTGGTAGGAAGTCATGATGCAGATGAGCTGGACATGGTGACTTGCCTTCCACATCAGGCATGCTCATAAACAGTCTCAGAAAAAAAGGAAAATCTCACAAAAGGGGTCAGAGGGAAAGAATGAGTGAGGAGAGAGAGGACACAACCTTTCACTACTTTCAGGAAAGCTCAATCCTTCCAAGGTCAGGGACATAGATGTGAGCCTGGCTTGGGGCACTGGGTACAAGCCACCATCCCAAACCTAAGGGGAGATGGTATATTGAAATGTGAATAGCTCCCATTCAAATTTCCTTTCTTTTTCTTTTTCTTTCTTTTTTTTTTTTTGAGACGGAGTTTCGCTCTTGTTACCCAGGCTGGAGTGCAATGGCGCAGTCTCGGCTCACCGCAACCTCCGCCTCCCAGGTTCAAGCAATTCTCCAGCCTCAGCTTCCTGAGTAGCTGGGACTACAGGCATGCGCCACCACGCCCAGCTAAGTTTTGTATTTTTAGTAGAGACAGGGTTTCACCACGTTGACCAGGATGGTCTCGATCTCTTGACCTCGTGATCCACCCGCCTCGGCCTCCCAAAGCGCTGGGATTACAGGCTTGAGCCACCACGCCCGGCTTCAAATTTCCTTTCTAATTTCTTTTAAATTAAGTCCTTTCAGTGTATCTCTGTCCTTCTCCATTTCTGCTAGGCAGTTAAGAGAAGGGCAGAAACTAGGCTAGTGAGCAAAGAAGGAAGTGGCCATAGGGCATTTCTGCAGTTGGCACAGGGACCTTTGGAATCTGTTTTCAAAACATGCCCAAACTAAAACCTCATGTGCTTCTCGCCAATCTTGCAGAGGCTGAATAAACCGCATGTGGCTCTGTGAAAAGCCAACTCACCCCATATGGCATTTCTGCTGTCTGGTTGGGTTAACATCTCTGCCTTACAGAGGCTGATAACATCCAGAGAACACAGACAGGTACCAAGGTCACTGGCCTCAGGAGGACCACAATTCATTTCTTCCTGTGTTTTTGGGATACACAGCTCTGAGAAAGGACTTGTCACTGGGTTTGCTCACTCCCACTCCTGAGGGGGGTCTGAGACACAGGTAGCAGTCTCAGGTTGTACTTTGTCAATCAGCGAGACAGTGCAGTGAATGCCAGGTCACAACACAGACTCTCAGGTCTTTCTAGGGAATGCTCATATTATTGGGGAGGTGGGTCTTCTAGGGAGCCTCTTCTTTCCTCTCCTTAGTCTTGTTGAGTCTTGCTCATGATGTGGCTGTTGTTGCCCCTGTTCCTTCTCTCAACAATGGTTAAGACACACATGGAGCCTCTGGGCATTTTTCCTATAAAGTACTTTGCTTTCAGGGTGGACGAAACTGCTACTCTACCCTACTGCTACTCAAAATGTCTTCCTAGCATTTGAGGGAGTCTGGGAAATGATCCATTATACATTATGTGTGGCTGACTAGGGTGCTTCTGTGATGACCCCAGGACTGGGATGGACAGTGAGCCTTCTATCACCTTCACTGAGGTAGACATGGGATGGCCCCAGGGTCTTCTGTTGACAAGGAAAATCTAAAAGGTGCTGGGGAAGTGCTGATCTATTTGGTTTCAATCAATCAACCTGGAAAGAGATTCTATATCTTCCTATGTGCTGAAGGGGTGAAGGGCAAGGATGAGGGTGATGAACATGGCATCCTTCCAAACCAGATGTAGGAGGGGGAGAGAGGGAGGAGGAAGGGGGGTTCTGGAGTGCCTCAGAGTACTTCATGCATTAGATTTCAGTGTTTTTTACTCAGTATCTTGCCTTTGTTTGTTGAGTATTGAGATCCGGATCAAATATCAAGTGCCTTTCTAGGACAGAAGTGTTTAATGTGGAATCACCTTCAGCATCCTGCCTCTGTGGATGGGGGAGGCAGTCTCTCTACTGTCATCTTTAATTTCAGAAAGAATGATCTGGGAGTGATGGGGGGGCAGAGAACAGTCCAGATAAAGGACCTAAAGAGTGGGTCACATGCTTGAATTTATGTGGGTTCCCTACCTCCTGGCCCCTGTCCTGCACAGGACACGACTCACTGTCTGCTTCCGAGAACGATCCAGACTCGTCACTGGAGTTGGTTCCATAAGACTGCTCACATTTAATTTGGGGCCGCACTTGGTTGTACATTCCATCTCCCATCAGGCCTGGTTCCTGATGTTCTGTGGCAAGGAATCTGGCTCCCTGGGAACAGGGTGAGGAGGAGAACTCACAGAGAGGGAGGCTGCAGGGCGAGCCCCCGCTCCCATCCTCTGCATAGGAATATGAGGAGCAGGAGCTGGAAGTCCTGGTCCTGGTCTCCAACGGGGGTGAGCGAGGGCAGACTTTGATTGGCACCGGGCAGCTGGTGTTGGGCCTCATCCTTCCTGGCAAGTGGTCGGCCATCAGCCCACCGTGGGAGTAGGCCTGCGAGCTGGGGAGGGACTGGCCAGCTCCCACCCACAGACCCTTTGGCACCGGCTCAGAGAGGTCTTTGTCCAAACTGCTCACCCCAGAATATGAATGCACCGAGGTGCTCACTTGGTCACAAGCACTGGAGGAGAATATCACACTCCTCCGGTCCAGCTCTCCCTCCTGTTTACAGAGAGCCTCCAACCCAGGCCCCCTGAGGGGCGACCCCATGGTGAAGTTGGACACTTCCTTCTGGCCCATGTGGGGCTGTCCATAATTCCCTGTGAAAGGGGTATAGTCAGTTTTAAGGTCACCCTGAGTGATCCCCTTGTCAAAAGGGCATGCTGGACTCCTGGCAAAGTGCTGCTGAGATGTACTGGGCAGTCCAGACAGCTCCACACTTTTTGTTATGCTGAACAGAGACCTCAAGCAGGAGGGTGAGGCCATGCTCCTGGATCGTTCCAGGCAGGCGGCCACAACTGGGGTCGTAGGGGTAGGGGCAGGGCTGAGCTGTTTCTGGTCCATATCGATGTCCCCCGCTCTGTCCTTGGCATCAGGCTCATCTCCAGACAGGCAGAGTGTGATGCTCTCTTCCTCATTCTCTTCACTGGGCGGTTCACTTTTAATCTGCCCCATGGAAAGACCCGGCTTGAGGCTGTTGCTAGAGTTATCTTCCCCGTTTGTGCTTGCAAAACCTGAGGTACTGTGTGATGATGCATTATAGACATTCTTGGTACACGCAAGCTGGTATTTCTTGTATCTGGGGTACTGCGTCAATGCGTCCTTTTCTGAGCTCTCCTTGGTGTCTGTGGGCACGTCGGGCTCTGGCAGCAGGGCTTCTTCCTTTTCTGCTACGGGGATGGCAGCGGCCTCAAAGCTGATGGGCTCTGGAAGCATCTGGTCCCTGGGGCAAGCCATCTTGGCTGTCTCTGAATCCATCGTCTCCTCATCTTCTTCCTCCTCCTCTCCTGCAGAGTTCTCACGGTCTGCGCGGTCCTCGTGTGGGCGCTGGCACGCAGCATCCTTCCGGCACACAAACAGGCCATCCTCACTGTTTAGGAGCTGGGTCTGCAGGAAGCTGAAGCAGGAGTCCTCCAGGTTGTGCATGCGCAGGAACTCAGCACAGCGGATGACCTCGCGGATGTTTTCTCTGCTGAGTAACAGCTTGGCAGTGTAGGCAAACTGTAACAGTGGCCCAAAGCCCCTGGCCGTGACCTGCAAAACAAACAGGGAAATCGCCAACATTACCATCAGCACCACTATTGTCCCGAATCCCTCAACTGAAGCAAGATAACCAGACAGTGCTAATGTCCCACAATAAAGACTGCAAAGGGGCAGTTAATCTTGTAGTACTGGGTCAGCAATGATTCCGCTTCCAATAATTAGTGCCTGTCTCGCACATGCCACTGTTGTACTCCATCACAGCACAGGCAGAATTGAAAATCACCAGGGTCAAGTGGCTAAACAAGATGACAACGGGTTCAGTGTTTACACTAATGAAATATCCTGGCAAAAATGCACGGTGACAATGGGGAGCCTATTAATTTCCCTCCCAATCAGTCGTGTTGAGAGCCATTCTACATGAGGGGGGAGTGTTGTGACACTTCCTGCAGCTTGCTGGAGCCCAAGAAAGCCTTAACGTTTTCTTGTCAACCACAAAAATGGCAATGTGGCCCTGCTACAGACTAAGTCCAGGGAGTCGCAAAAGTAGTTTTTCTTCACTTACAGTGTTAAAAGAGACATGAAAAACAACTTGCGTTTTGCCCATCCATCATGGTTTCTACTTGGGACTTTTGGTCATCATGTCCTACCTGATCTTATAATGATGATCTCATCTCACCAGAGATGATGACAATCAAAAGCAATGTGCTCAAGAAGAAATAAACTTCTGGCCCATAATGAATGGGGGTTGCAGAGCTAAACAAACCAGCTGTCATTTAAATGGGTGAAGCTACTGAGTGGCACAGGGTATGGGCCATTCCTTCTCTAATTATTAGCAGCAGCTCTGCCATGCAGCTGTCTTTTTTTTTCCTGGTAAATCTTCAGAGGCTAAGCCTACTGTCATTTGCTGCTTATCCATTATATTTCACACAGATTGAAAGTGTGCTATTTATGCACAGCTTGCATATGCACACCAACACGTGTGTGTGTGCATGCATGCCCACTCACACACAACGACTTAGACAATTAAGAATATGTTGCCTTTGGATATATACCCAGTAATGGGATTGCTGGGTCAAATGGGATTTCTATTTTTAAGTCCTTGAGGAATCGCCACACTGTCTTCCACAATGGTTGAATTAATTTACATTCCCACCAACAGTGTAAAAGTGTTCCTATTTCTCCACATCCTCTCCAGCATCTGTTGTTTCCCGATTTTTTAATGATCGCCATTCTAACTGGTGTGAGATGGTATCTCAATGTGGTTTTGATTTGCATTTCTCTGATGACCAGTGATGATGAGCATTTTTTCATATGTTTGTTGGCCTCCTGTATGTCTTCTTTTGTAAAGTATCTGTTCATATCCTTTGCCCATTTTTGAATGGGCTTGTTTGTTTTTTTCTTGTAGATCTGCTATCCAAAGGATTATAAATCATTCTACTACAAGGACACGTGCACACGAATGTTCATTGCAGCACTGTTTACAATAGCAAAGACCTGGAACCAACCCAAATGCCCAACGATGATAGACTGGATAGGGAAAATGTGGTACATATACACCATGGAATATTATGCAGCCATCAAAAACGATGAGTTCACGTCCTTTATAGGGACATGGATGAACCTGGAAACCATCATTCTCAGCAAACTGACACAAGAGCAGAAAATCAAACACCATGTATTCTCGCTCATAGGCGGGTGTTGAACAATGAGAACACATGGACACAGGGAGGGGAGCACTACACACTGGGGTCTGTTGGGGGGAAATGGGGGAGGGGCGGGGGGTGGGGAGGTGGGAAGAGATAGCATGGGGAGAAATGACAGATACAGGTGAGGGGACGGAAGGCAGCAAAGCACACTGCCATGTGTGTACCTATGCAACAATCTTGCATGTTCATCACATGTACCCCAAAACCTAAAATGCAATAAAAAAAAAAAAAACAAAAAAAAAACGTCATCCTCTAAAAAAAAAAAAAAAAAAAAAAAAAAAAAAAGAATATGTTGCCTAAGGCCAATTGTTTTTTCAGATGGAAATGGATGAAACTTGCTGGTGTTCATCAGGGGAGGCTTCCTTACCCTGAACGTAAAACCACACATCCTCTAGGTTTTGCAAGCACTGCTCACCCCACAGGAAGGCGAGGCAGGTCTTCAAATCCTGTACAAATCAAATGAAAGCAGTAATCCTGGGGTCCTTGCTGGGAACTATGATAGCAGTGACAGAAAATTTTAGCTGGGGGAGTGAGTACACAGCAAGGTGAATCAGCAGGCTTTGTGGCTGACTTCTTTGTGTATTAAACCCACTGCAGCACTCAGAGCCAAAATTCTTGCAAGGACTTTTGGTAGCCCTCTCCATTCCTCTTAGAGAGAATGAATGACATTGTCCTCTCAGCTCCTATAGCCAGATGAGGAAATGACCTGGATTCTCTAGGGCAGTACTGATTTCATATCATTGCATTCTTTCCAGTAAGGGAAATTTCTTAGAAATGTAACTGAATGGGATTTTAACTGTTAATCTGTTTGAAGTACTTAAGATTCCAAAATAAAAACTTCTTTTTCTGTCAGATGATGAGTCCAGAGATATTTGGTTAAAAAAAAAAAAAGCTCCTGTAATCCCAGCACTTTGGGAGGCCGAGGCGGGTGGATCACGAGGTCGAGAGATCGAGACCATCCTGGTCAACATGGTGAAACCCTGTCTCTACTAAAAGTGCAAAAAAAAAAATTAGCTGGGCATGGTGGCACGTGCCTGTAATCCCAGCTACTCAGGAGGCTGAGGCAGGAGAATTGCCTGAGCCCGGGAGGCGGAGGTTGCGGTGAGCCGAGATCGCGCCATTGCACTCCAGCCTGGGTAACGAGAGCGAAACTCCGTCTCAAAAAAAAAAAAAAAAAAAAAAAAAAAAAAAAAAAAAAAAAAAAAGCTATGACTACCAGACTGACATTACAAATTCTATATGGGCAATCATTGCCATCTCCCTTTTATTATACTTGTGTCTGTTTCTACCATAAGAGAGCAAGCTCCTTCACATCAGGAATGGTTCTGTTTCTCTTTATAACCTTGCGTCTAATCTAACCTAGGGTTTCTAACATGGTAAATATCTGTTAAAAGCATGTATGTTACTGAATTGTGTCATAAGTCAAACTGTGTCCTAACATACTACTGCTGTGTACAGAGGGTGACAATACCATCTAACCAAATCAATCAACCTATCAAAGGCAGGCAGGCAAGGGTCTTTGACTGCCCTGTGTCACAGTACCAGTGTTAAAAAGGAGCTCAACTGACCAACACTTTTATATGCTGCTAAGCTGACATAGTAATAGAGTCAGCAAATATAGTACTGACAACACATCTGTTTTATGTCTTTTTCTTCCAGGAATCTTTAAAAGAAAGTAAAAAAGCAAGGACATGTGTATTTATGTCTGAAGAAGGTGATAAGAATGTCACATGACCTATTCCTTTACTGCCACATGGCTCCACCACAAAGAAAGAAATGATGGAATTAATGCAGGGTTGACCCCTGCCCCCATAATGATCCTATGCTCCTCTGTAATGTGCCGAACAGGTGGATAAGGCACTTCTTGAGTTTTGGCAAAAGTTTCCCACTATATGGGAAACGTAGGAAACTAATTTCAATGCTATTTATACTGTTCACACAGTTTTTCTCATACTCCCATCCTTATCACCATTTTTCTTTTTTTTTTTTGATGCTGTGGGTCTAAGTAAGCCTTACCATTATCCTCCACTGTGGCCTCTTTTAAAAGAAAATTTCTAAAGAAGCCAGGGGGCCGGGCGCGGTGGCTCAAGCCTGTAATCCCAGCACTTTGGGAGGCCGAGGTGGGTGGATCACGAGGTTGAGAGATCGAGACCATCCTGGTCAACATGGTGAAACCCCGTCTCTACTAAAAATACAAAAAAATTAGCTGGGCATGGTGGCACGTGCCTGTAATCCCAGCTACTCAGGAGGCTGAGGCAGGAGAATTTCCTGAACCCAGGAGGCAGAGGTTGCGGTGAGCTGAGATTGCGCCATTGCACTCCAGCCTGGGTAACAAGAGTGAAACTCTGTCTCCAAAAAAAAAAAAAAGCAGCCAGGGATATCCATGGGTCAAGAAGTAGTACTGGGAGTAACCCTCTGCCACATGGCTGCAAGGAGCTGGAGAAAACATCTCTGCTCAGGGAAGAGCTGATGCCTAAATGCATGAATGGGACCTACGATGTCAATGGGCAAAGTCTGCACATCACAAATCAACAATACGCCTTAGATCATGAGGCTTAGGAGACATGCTGACCTTGAAATGATCATCCTATGGTCATGAAAAAGTCACAGATAAAAAACCTGATTTGTAAATTGTCATTTAAGCCCAAGGGCAGAGGAAATGGTGCCCTCGCCATGAAAGTTCAAGAGCCCATAACTAGCTCATCTACCACACTGGTTTCAATCCTGCTTTGTCATATTTAAGTCTGCAAGATTTTACTTAGCTTCTATGTGTGAGGCTTTGTTGGATGTACCAGAATGACCGTTCACCAAGTATCTCCTAGTGTCTACCACTGCTAACACCCTGCAAGGCAGGCATGACTGTCCCTGTTTTGTAGATAAGGAAATTGTGAAGCAGGGAGCTGAAGGAGTTTATCCATGGTCACAGAGCTAGTAAGTAGAGAGCTGGGATTCCAAACTAAGTCCGGCCTGTTTCTTCTTCTGTGCTAAGTGGTGTGAGGGAAGGATGTGTGCAGGACTCAGGCCCCTGCTCAAGAGACCTACCATTTAGCTTTGTAGAAGAGGTACAAATGATGAAAAGTTAACTAAGTAACAACGTAAGTCAGTCAACAATGGAAAGGCCATTGCAAGACTATATGACTAGCTGTCAACTGAGAAATCCAGACAAGTTCAGGAGACTGCTGAGGGGCCTACTGAGATCTGTGGGGGCCCCTTGAACACTTTTATCAGAACACCTGGAGTCTCTGCTCTCGGTCAAGGGTTACTTTGATATGATGGCTACTTTCTGAACTGCCACAACAGTCCCTCCCACGAAATCATCTCTGGTCTACTTAAGGTAGTAGTAAT